CTGGCTACCTTGTAACCCTCTAGAGCCCTGTCCGATCCTTGCTTCCTCAAACTTAAGTAAGCTTCCTTCTTCCTCTTGACTAGATGTTCCACATATCTTGTCCAAGGTTCCTTCACCTTACCATCCCTTCCTTGCCTCAGTGGCACAAACCTATCCTGTACTCGTAACAAGTGCCCACTAAACAACCTCCACGTTTCTGTCGTGCATTTCCCTGAGAATATCCGTTCCCAATTTATGCTCTGCAGTTCTTGCCTAATAGCATTGTAAGTCCCCCGCCCCTAATTAAATACTTTCCCATACCATCTGCCCCATCCCTCTCCATGACTGTCGTAAAGGTCAGGGTGTTGTGATCACTATCACCAAATTGCTCTCCCAGAGAGATCTGACATCTGGCCTGGTTCGTTGCCAAGCACCAAATCCAATATGGCCTCCCCTCTAGTTGGCCTATCTACATATTGAGTCAGAAATCCTTCCTGGACACGCCTGACAAAATCTGCTCCATTCAAACTAGATCCAAACAACTTAGAAAGTTCCGGTCGATATTAGGCAAGTTGAAGTCATCCATGATAACAACCCTATTACTTCTGCACCTTTCCAAAATCTGCCTCCCAATCTGTTCCTCAGTGTCTCTGTTGCTATGGGGGGTCTATTGAAAACTCCCAATAAAGTGACTGCTCCTTTCCTGTTTCTGACTCCCACCCATACTGACTCAGTAGATAACCCCTCCTCGATGACCTCCCTTTCTGCAGCTGTGATACCATCCCTGATTAGTAATGCCACTCCCCCACCTCTTTTACCTCCCTCCCTATTTCTTTTGGAACATCTAAACCCCGGAACATCCAACAACCATTTCTGCCCCTGTGTTATCCAAGTCTCCATAATGGCCACAACGTCATAGCTCCAAGTACTGATCCATGCTCTAAGTTCGTCACCCTTATTCCTGACACTTCTTGCGTTAAAATAGATACACTTCAATCCGTCGCACTGACTGCAACTCTGCCCTACCAACTGTCTGACCTTCCTCACAGACTCTCTGCATGCTGTATCTGCTTGTACACCAGCTAGCCCATCCTCTAATCCGTAGCTCCGGTTCCCATCCCCCTGCCAAGCCAGTTTAAATCCTCCTGAAGAACTCGAGCAAATCTCCTGCCCAGGATATTGGTGCCCCTCCAGTTCAGGTGCAATCCATCCTTCTTGTACAGGTCCCACCTTCCCCTGAAGGTATCCCAGTGATCCACATATCTGAAGTCCTCCCGCCTACACCAGCTCTGTAGCCACGTGTTCAGCTGCATTCTCTCTCTATTCCTAGCCTCACTAGACCTTGGCACCAGTAGTAATCCTGAGATTATTATTCTGCTCGTCCTGCCTTTTAGCTTCCAACCTAACTCCCTATATTCACTTTTCAGGTCCTCATCCCTTTTCCTAGTTATGTTATTGGCGCCAATGTGTACCACGACTTCTGGCTGCTCACCCTCCCCCTTAAGAATCCTGTAGACTCGATCCAAGACAACCCTAACCCTGGCAGCCGGGAGGCAACATACCATCTGGGAGTCTCGCTTTGGACCACAGAATCTCCTGTCTGTTCCCCTAACCATTGAATCTCCTATCACTATCGCTCTCCTATTCACCCCCATTCCCTTCTGAGCCAGGCTCAGTGCCAGAGACCTGGCCGCTATGGCTTTCCCCTGGCAGGTTGTCCGCACCAAAGCGGTATACTTATTATTGAGGGAAATGGCCACAGGAAATCCCTGCACTATTTGCCCATTCCCTTTCCCTCTCCTGACGATCACCCAGCTACCTTTATCCTGTAACTTGGGTGTGAGAACCTCCCTATAACTCCTATGAACCCCTCAGCCTCCCGAATGATCCGGAGTTCATCCAGCTCCAGCTCTAGTTCCCTTATGCGATCTGTGAGAAGCTGGAGTTGGGTGCACTTCTCGCAGGTGAAGTCAGCAGGAACACTAGTAATGACCCTTACCTCCCACATCCTACAGGAGGAGCATACAACTACCCTAGCTTCCATCCCCTCTACTCTAGATTGCCAATGAGATAAAAAGAAAAAAAGGGCTGACCTAACCGATCCTCCGCACAGTTTTTTTTTGGTTACAGGAGGAGAATGGGTTGGAGAAACTACACGTATAGTGTTTCGGGTTTAGCCCCTGCCCGAAGATATTAGTTCACTTACCCGGCAGTCCCCGCGTCCAAGTTCACTCCTGCTCAGCCTTCGCTCCACTTATTCACGAGGCAAGTTTTTTATACCAAAACCTTACCTTCCTGGCTGTCCCCTGGCTTGCACTGTCACCGCTCCCGCCGCTAAATTAGAGTATAAATCAAGAAAGCAGTAGCTCAATACCAACTCTGGCGAACCCCATTTTGTAATTTCCTCCAGTTTGAAAAACGTCTCTTCACCACTATTCCCTGCTTCCTGTCACTCTGCTACCCTCATTATCCATGCTGCCCTTGTCTGTTCTATTGCTTGAGCTTCAACTTTTGCTGACATGGAGTGATGCTTTATCAAAGCCTTTTGGAAGTCCATGTGTATGACTTTAATGGCATTACCTACATTAGCGCCCACCTCACCCTAGAGTTACTTCATCAAAAGAAGTTTAGTTACATAAATTTAGACCATAAGATGTAAAAGAAGAATTAGGCCATTCAGCCCATCAATTCTGCTCTGCCGTTTAATTATGCTGGTATGTTTCTCAACTCCATTCTTCTGCCTTCATCCATACCCCTTGATCCTCTTACCAATCAAGACCCTGTCTGTTTCTGTCTTAAATACATGACTTAGCCTCCATAGTTCTCTGCAGCGATGAGTTACAGGGGTTCACCACTCTGGCTGAAAATTCCTCCGCATCTCAGATCTAAATGATCATCTCTTCATTCTGAAGCTTCATCTTCGGTCCTAGTCTTTCCTACTAGTGGTAACATCCTCTCCACGTCCATTCTATCCAGGCCCCTCAGTATTCTGTAAGTTTCAATGAGATCCCTCTCATCCTTCTAAACTTCATCAAGTCCAGACACAAAAGTCCTCAACCGCTGTTCATATGATAATCCCTTCATCACCAGGATCATTCTCGTAAGCCTCCTGTAGATCCCCTCCAATGCTAGCACATCCTTCCTTAGATACAGGGCCCAAAACTGCTCACAATATCCCAAATGCAATCTGACCTGAACTTTGTATAACCTCAGCTGTATTCCAGCCCTCTTGAAATGAATGCTGACAGATTTGTCAGGCATGACCTCTGGTTGACAAAGCTGTGCTGACTCAGCCCTTTTTTACCGTGCACTTCCAAGTACTCCGTAATCTCATCCTTAACAATGGACTCTTAAAATCTTACCAAGAACTGAGGTCAGGCTAACCAGCCTATAGTTTCCTATCTTCTGCCTCCTTTTCTTCTTAGTAAACAGGGTTGTTAGGTTAGCCAATTTACCTGTGACAGATCTACGCTGACTGTCCTAAATTCATTCCCAGTTGTTGAAGTGATTATTAAATTTTTCCCCTGAATGATGGTATCTGAAAGCTCTTCCACCCCAATGTTAAACTGACTGGCTTGTATTTGTTAGATTTATCCAAATGCCTTCACACCACATTATTTTTTAGCATAACTTAAGTATTTGACTACTTCAGTTTAAAATTATCTTCCCCCAACTGTTATTGCAAAAGACACCCTCTTTTTATCCACTTCTTTGACTCATCACTTGTTTTAAACAGTTTTAGATTATTTGCTTCTCTGGAGAGGCTTTGGGTCACTGAACTTGAAGTTTCTTAACTCATGAAATGTTATAATAATCAATTTTACCATAAATCTACTTGATGACCGGGAATATCTTTACCTTATGGTCGTATAATTGGAACAGATGTAGGAACTTAGGAACAGGAGTAAACTATTCAGCACCTTGAGCATGTTCTGCTATTCAATTAGATCATGGCTGATCTGTGGCCTAAGTCCATATACCTGCCTTCGCTTAACAAAAATTTATCTATCTCAGATTTGAAATGAACAACTGATCTAGCATCAACTTCGGTTGTGAAAGAGAGTTTCAAACTTCTACCACCCTTTGTGTGTAGAAGTACTTCCTAACATCTCTCCTGAATGGTCTGGCCCTAATTTTTAGACTGTGGTCCCAGTTCTAGAATGTCCAACCAGTGAAAATATTTTATCTTCATCTACCTAAGGCTTTTCCCATCAACCTTCTATTCATTAAAATGCAGTAATGTGGAGTTTTGAATTAGTGACATTTTTTAAAAAGCCATTCCAATACTTGAGCTATCTTGTCAGGACATAATCAAGGTGTTAATGCTACTAATGCCATCTGAGTGGTTCCTATGACTAGAACTTATTATAATCTTTTTGTACCTTCTCTGTAGAAATTTTCATATGCTTTCTTAGATTTGCTGATACAGCCAGCTGCCCTGCTTCCCTTGATAATCCATTCCATAATTCCCTCCAGGGCAAAAGCAATCATGTCTAAGTTACCTTTTTGCTCTCCCTATTCTAGATTTCAGGCTGTGTCTCCTTATAGAATCCACTTGTATCAGATGTGTTTGCATCTATTCTGTCTATATTTTCTGGAATCTTGAAAATCTGTGATGACTCTCTTCAATGTAAGTACTGTCAAATTCAAGGCCTTCTCAGAACTCAGCTGCATAATCCCAAATATCAAATCAGTTACCTTTCACTGTTCTTCAAAAGTGCCCTGATGCCTTTGTTATCATAGGGAGGCCAGTATCATGAAATACTTCACATAGGTCTTTATCAGCACTTTGTACAAAGTTTTTCACTTTTTCAGATGTTTGTGATCTTCCTGTAGCTGTTTTATTTGGCTTCTTTATTGCTACATAATACGACAATAGCCTAACCGATCTGTGCTTGCAAGTCTTTGCAAATTCCTACTCAGATGCATTCAGGGAAAAAAGTCTAGAGACAAACTTGGACTCCAGAGGAACTTTGTGCTCTGTTTTGTTGATCCTCCATCATTTCTTCCGTTTGTCTCAGGATGTTGTTTTTCAATGGCTGACTACAAATGAAATCCAGTTGAACCAAATCGATGCAGAGGATCCAGAGGTAAAAATAGTAATTTGGAGTAAAAAATTGGAAACGCTGTAATTCTTTTGGGGGGAAAAAAAGATAATTACATACTCAAAACAGTACAAAAATATTTGTCCTAAAAATCCACAAGCAATATTCCTACAGAAAAATGAAAACCTTGAACAGTGAGGAAACACTTTTCAAAAAAATAATAAATTTGAGCTAATAGGTTGTAGCATCAATCCTATTTTAATCCTACATAAGCAGAACTTAATAGATCACCACTGTACACTGACACCAGGGGTACAAAAGAATAGTACAATGTGGGAAAAGTTTTTAGTGGGCCAGGGCAGGGTTTGAATGATCTGTGTGTCTCATTTAGTTTATTGGCTACTAGAACAAAATATACACCTAAGTCAGGAACTTGTTTCAAAATTATAAAGATTGACAATTAAATGATTTTTTTTTAAAAACTTTGTTTTATTTTGAAACTATTCTTGAATTATTGAAAAAACATTTTGTTATCAAGATTTCAGATTACACCATGCTTCCAGATACAGCTAAACTGTCTGAAAGATTGAGGGTTTGTCTGCAGGAAGGAGATGAAAATCCAAGAGATTTTACTACTCTCTTCGACATGTCAGTCTTTAAGCTGGACACAATGGCTCTTCCAAAAGTTATCACGTCAGTATCGGTTAAAAAAATTGTACAAAACTAAACTTTTGTATGTTTGAGATACAAACTTTAAGTAGAATGAGAAGCAGGAGAATATAATTTAAAGTAACACATCAGTGATTACATTTTTTAAAACTTCATTCCTTCCTTGTTTTCCCCTATGCCAATTACTGTTTCATAGCAGAGTGTGGCCCATGTAGATACTCATTGGATGGTAGTCCAGCTTGTGTCAGCACATTCAAGTTTTAATGTTTTGCACCACAGAATGGCTTGACGTATCGGTAATTCTCCATGGTGCATTCCTGAAACTGTACAGGTGGATGACATGTGGAATGTTAATGCAGATTGCTGTCACAGAAACAACATATTATCCAACTAAGGAGAAACATTCTCAAATACTTGGAATTAAGTTGTCATCCTGTTATCCCTGATAGGAAATGATATGTAACATGAAGAAAAAACAAAAAGTCAACTACAGAATTTTAAAAATCAAATGATTAATTTGTTTGAAATTACTATGTAACATACTTAAAACTTGTACAGCAATAACATAACTAATTATAAACAGTAATTACCTTGAGATAAAATGTTTGTAATTAATATAATTGCCTTTCATCGCAATAGACATGAATGGTGAATCTTTATTAACATAAGATTCTTTCCAATATATATTTAAAAATTATTTATACTTCCTTGATGTCTGAATTTACCAGGCTTGCCTACATTGATAGTTGAAAATCTTGACAAAAACAAATATTTTGCAAACGAAAAAATAGTGAACTGCTGAAATTTAGGTCCTAATGAAATGCGACATTCTTGTAATCATTGACTCACTTTTTCACAAAATCTGCCATGATTGTACTCTTATTTACACTATTTCAATATTGGCACATTCTCATTTTTGTGTGTTTCCAGGGCTTATGAACAACTAAATGTGAAACATGAATCACTGCAACTAATACAACCTCAATTTGAAACACCCCTGCCTACACTACAGCCAGCTGTAAGTACAAATCTTACAAATCAGACCACAGAACATTAGAAATGAACATGTGACAACATAAGAGCAAATTGGATCAACTATAAGTTTTATTTAATTTTTATAATTTTTATTTAACTTTTATTTGCTACAGTTATTTAATATGGAAATTCACTTATTCTCTTCAGCGATTTACTTTTGAAAAATAAAATTGTGGTAAAAGGTAGACTATGTACCCAGTGTCTTTTCACCATTTCAGAACTAATGATAAAAACACTGAGATGATAAGAAAGTGTATATTTACTCTGAGGATTGTGTTGTAACAAGTGTCCTGGTGGCAACATTGTCACATTAGTAGTCAGCCAACACTCTTGTGGTAATAGGGCTATAAAGTTGACAATGCAGCTGGTGTATTGTTAAGTCCATCACATTTGCAATACCTATTTTGTATATCAAAAACTAAGTATTATCAATTTTAAAAAATGTATAATTCAACTTTTTTTGAGTCATGTCTACAGTAATGTTTACATATGAATTGTTTTAATATAACAGGTCTTTCCTCCCTCTTTTCGAGAGTTACCAGCACCAACCTTAGACCTCTTTGATCTTGATGAAACATTTTCATCTGAGAAAGTCAGACTTGCTCAGCTGACTAACAAATGTAAGCAGTTTCTTTTTGTCCAATTCTTGCTTATTTCTAAGCTTCTGTTCTTGAGTTTATGTTTTAACTTTTTACTGCTGATCCACTTTTTCCTTATTGCATAAATATTATCTATGATTAAGGTTTTCCTGATTAGAAAATACACAATGTGTTAAGCTAATTAATATCAACCAAGGAAACAGTGGAAACACTGTAATTAGTCTGACTTTGCACTTGTGGAGGAGAATATCGACCAAGGTTAATGTCCTGTCAGGTTCAGAAGAAGAGTCATGTCAGACTCGATGTTAACTCTTTCTTTGTCCAGAGATACTGCCAAACTTGCTGAGTTTCTTCCAAGTTTCCAGCATCTGCAGTAATATATTTTTTATTTGAAGGCTCACGTCTTACCTGCTAGCTTTTCCTTGATCCCTGCTGCCCAAGCAAAGGATGGGAACTCTGTTGCCTCAGTTCATTGTGAATTTGCTACACATTGAGTAACTTCACTTGACAAAAAAGCTGAACTTGATTTATGCTGGCAAGACCTGGAAATGCCTACCATCCATCCAATTAGTTACACCTCCTTTCAGTCATAACTTTATTAGGTTAGTCACGATAATACTTCCACTCTCCAGCTAGATCTAATGTTTTCTAGCTTCTTTGCTGTTCTGTATGTTGCTTTAGTAACCTGACTTGGGTGCTTCCATATTCCCATTCCCTATTTTCTTGAACACCAGATTTCTAGCCTATTTTATACTCTGTTTATTATTCCATCTGCATTCTCAACGGGAGAGGGATGGAAATGGAGAATTTGTGAGAAGAAAAACAGCTCATACACCAGAAAGGGTAATCCAAAAGCAGGGTGGTTGGGGAGGGGGTTACAGAGAGATTAATTCTAAGCAGAAAAATGAGTCAACAGGAGACAGCAAACTAGAATAGAGCAGATCCAACAGAAAAAGTGTATGAGAATGAGAAATGGAGAGAATTAAAGCAAAGCAGAAAATAAGAGAGAGTAAATGATAACAAGAAAAGCAATTCAGATAGGCAGGAGAATGACTTGGACGAGGAGCAATAAAAGAGGAAAATAAATAAACAGTGATGACAAAGAATGGCAAGAGAATGAGTGAGAAGAACAGGAAGGGAAGAAGGAGACTTTCATTTATTCACCTTACCAAGCCTATGGATATACATGATTTTGATTTTCACTATTGCAGGAAAAGAGAGAAACCGTTTCTTTTCAGGCATCCCCTTATTTATATCCCTGGAGAAGTAAAAATGAATTTGAACTTGCACACAGATTTGGCCATCTGTAAAGGCTTTAAGGAACTAACTGATTAATTTCACTTGTGTTTATCATTTATAATGTGTCATAAAAATGACCTTAAAAATAAGCTTTAAGATATAACTCTGTTTGAATATAATTTGTTCCATTAAAATTATGGTGTGTCTGCTTTTGAAAACATCAACCAAGCCAAAGTTCAGTCTCGATTGTGATGTTCTACATGCTCAACGAGTTTTCGGTGCTTACTGTTCAGGCTTATGCAATTTGGACAATGGTCCAGATGAATTTCCCATGTGGTGCCTTCTGGAGGAAAGATATATGCATTATTCACTTTAGTGGGCTTATTTTACAAAATAGCTAATCTTGGACAAATGGAAATGTAAACTTTGGGCATGCAAAGTGCTATCATTTTTTAAAGAAGTGTACATGATTAATGCATTTTAATGGAAATTTTCTCTCTAGATTTCCAAACCTAGAAAATATTAAAATGAAAACCTTTGGAAGAAGGTATAAAACTTTCAATGGAATTCGATCTTTGCTGATTTAATTTGGACAAGTGAACTTTCAAGTGAATGTTCTTTTTTAGTCACTTCTGAGCAATTATCTTACATCTGTGCACACTTGTTCTTGATCCTTCCACTGACAGGAACTATTCTCCCTGCATACCCTGGCTAGATCCCTCGTCATTTGAATATGGCAGTCAAATCTCCCAACCTTCCCCTGGGATAATTTTCCCAACATCTGCATTCCGTTTACATAACTGAAGTTCTTCATGACAGCACAACACATAGAATATTGAAGCCTGAAACCATTCTTGTGAATGTTTTGTACATACCTATGTCTTCACATGCTTAATGACCATACTCCAGTTGAGGCTAAATCACACTATTATGCAAATTTAACATAACCTCTGTGCCTCTGTCTCCACTAATGAAGTCTGGGGTGCTTTCTTAATTATTTTATGAAACTATCTTGTCACCTTCAATGATTTTAAACAGGTCCCTTTGCTTCTGCACCCTCTTTAGAATTGTACCCTACATTTTATATTCTCTCTGAGGTCTTCCTTCCAAAACTGATCACCCATTCCACCTGCCTACCTATGTCTTTTTGAACTTCTACACTATCCTCTCAGTTATCAATATTTCCAACGTTTGTATTGTCTGTAAGGTCTAGATCATTAATAGAACACTGATCCCTAGGGAATTCCACTATAAACCATCTCCAGTCTGAAAAACATGCATTAACCATTGTTTCCTGTCACTCAGCTAATTTTGGTTCCATGTTACTTTCCCTGTTATTCTGTGAGATCTAACTTTGCTCACAAATCTGTTGGCAGATTTATGAATTAAATTTCAGTTTTTGGGTTGGTAGATGAAAAAAAGACCATACAAGCTTTTGGATTGCAAATGAGAACCCAACTAGTTTACTAATTCCCTCTTGAGGAAGAAATCCTGGTTCCATTTCTCTTCAGATCTATGTAGTTGACTCTGGCAATGACATCTGTAACCCAAAAAGGAAACCTAGTGTTGTCAGTTTACTCCCCGTTGGGACTTCAGTTTACAGATCAGCCAAAGTCACCTGGACAGAATTCCAGCAATAATCCAACTCTTTCAGGATAACTAATGAACAATGCCCTTACATACAGTGGACCTACTGACTCAAACATTATATTGTCACAACTGTGGGTTCTGATTTTCCATTGTCAGGTGTCATATTGTGAAGCAAACTTGACCTGCTTATCTTCATCTAGAATGATTATCCTCTTCTACATTCTAGTTATTTCTGCTATTTAATAGCAAGATGTTGCTATATTGAAAGGACTCTTAAACTTTGATTTCTTTCCAGGTACTGATGACGATCTCGAATTTTATGTTCGCAAGTGTGGTGACATTCTCGGTGTATCAAATAGGCAAGATAGTCGCAGCGCAAAAGAAATTTTAGAGCATATCTTTTTCCAGGTGGTGGAGTTTAAGAAGCTGAATCAGGTGAATTTAAGAAATCTTTAATTTGCAGTGAAATTGTATAACCATTGATCTTGCAATTGTTGTCCTTTTAAAAATGTCATCCATTGCAAAAGAATTCAATATGCTCAATTAAAATCCTGTCAGATGCATTGCAGTACACTAGTGATTATACTGTTTCTCTACAGGATCATTATCTAGACACACAGGAGGCTGGTTTAAGTACTTTGCCAAATAACTGAAATTGAACTTTTGCACCACCATGGATTCAGCAAATCTTCTTGCGATGAAGATATCGGCAGGACTTGGTTCTTCTACAACTTGTAACTCACAAAATGTTAGATTCCTTATTCAAAAATGTATATTTTTGTATTGAAAGGCTTAATCATTTGTCTGTACACAAAGGCATTTTATACACTACATTGTTGCATTTAAGATGATGGTGAACTTATCCTATTTTAAAACACTCATGCTTCTACATACCTTCAGTTACTGATTAGCACTTAATTTTAATCTCAAGTCCATCTTTCCATAATATATCATTTAATGTAACAGGTGTCTAGATGAGAATTTTGATTTTAAATTGCACACATTTACTTGAGCATTTCTGTTTAGTTTTCGGTTTGTACTTTAATTTGTAAATAAAAGGTTTTTTATTACACATTCATGTTTATTATTTACATACTAGCACTTTGAGATAGTTAGTAGGGCAGTAATGGTGAAGAGTTAGCCTAACTGACGTCATAATAAAACTGAGACTACAGAAATTCAGTAACTGTTTCAGAACATTGATGCACCAAGCCTGGATGGAACTCAAATGGTTGCACTTTTGTCAGTCAAGATCGAAAAATATCAATTTTTTAAAACTGGTTATCTCAAATCATTAACCACTTGATTCTTGCACGGGAATATTCAAACATGGGAATCCTTTAACTGAGCCACGTTACCAGAAACACAGCCAGTTTCCTCATCCTGCTCTTAAATTCAGAATCCAACTACAGTTTCCCTATTTTCCCTTCTCTGCCATGATCACACTATTATTCTCGGTGATATTAATTAACACTTACCAGCAGTTAATTCTAGGAAATTCTTAGGCATATAGCTTAGCTTCTTGATCTGAGAAAACCAGGAATGGATGTCTTGGTACCAATCTTCTTAAATCAATACATTATTTATCTCAACCAATTTAAATAAAAGTCGCAAGAAATAATGCCCAAACGAACAGTACTAAAGCTTAGGCCACAAAGAATTTTTGTGCCTTCGGAGAATTTATGCAGA